AGAAAGAGAGTGCTGTTAGAACGTACTTGTGGAGAATGCAAAATAACTTTAGTCTCAAGGTAAAATGACAAATAATTGTAATGATGTGCCCTATTTAAGTCCCGTTTATTTAAAAATAATTTTTAAAAGGGCTGTGTATTGAGTAACTGCTTTACTTCCTTTTTCGTCAGAGCACGCTGGAATTTTCCCTCTCCGTGCGGAACACAGTAATGACAGATCAGGAGTATGTTCTGTGCAGGTGGCGGAAGCGTTTGTGGCCGGCAAAGGTAAAGCAAGGGAGGAAAAAATTGTGGCTATAACTTAAAAATTGGTGAAATGGAGCAGTGAGTAAGTAAGAGCTCCAAGAAAGCACGTGTATAACTTGGCAAGAGCGCTCAGCGGCAGAGATCCTAATACTGCACACGAGTGCATGGGATGTCGGTCTGTGCTGCTCTAAAAATGTTTTGATTTCAGGTCTGTCCTGTAATCTACCAGACTCGTGTTTGTGTTTTTTTTTCTTTAATGCAGGTTTTGTGCAGAACTGGAGCTGCTGGGAAAACATCTGTTGCAAATCGGGAGGAGAATTACTTTAAAGTCGAAATACTTGGCTTGAAAGAACAGTTAAGTAGAGTCACATTTGCACTCCCAGGCGCTGACTAGGCAGCCCCTTTATCTGAAGATACCTGTGAAATGGGGTCATTGATTTGCAGAAGGATTAGGTGACTCAAAAACTGCCTTTTCAGAGTTGCCCACATACATCCACAAAGCATTCTTCATGTGTTTGGGTGAGGTTTTTTCCCCTTAATTCCTGTTACCAAGTACAATGTCCGGGAGAAAAAAATACTGCAAGCTTGTTGCCAGTTGAAAGCGGTGTCGAGCTGGCCGTGACGTTCAGGCAGCTTTGTTGTGTTTTCAGGGTTCGTGTGAAGGGTGCAGACGCTCTACTGCTGAAGGAGGAACATATAGAAAACATCGCCTCGAACTTGGGTGAGGAGATGCTGCCTTGTCTGAGTGGAAAACATGCGCAAAACCTTTTATTTTTCATATACAAAGGAAGCTTATTGCATTTTTTGCGTATTTTGTTTAATCAGATCAAAGGACTGACTCGACTAAGGCTGTGGAAGAACTGAAATATCGCCATTCTCTTAAAATTGCCCTGGATATTTTGACTCAGAATGTCTCAGGCAGACAAGTACCACCGTCAGAAAAAGGACCAAATACTCGGCTGTCCCAGCACAACAGTCATTATTTTTCAGAGCCTAGGACTTCCAGGAAGAAAAGAAGTCAAAAAACCAACCCCAGCCTGAAGACTGATACAAAAAAACAGAGTGAGAAAGGTTCCCTCGTTTTGGAGAGTGCTAAAATGCATGAAAGTGGAACAAGCCCTTCCAGCTGTAGGACTGAGGGCTTGTCAGAAACATTGAACTCAGAGAGTCAAAACTGCGAAATACCGGAATCAAAATCACTCCCAAGGCAGAAAAAAGACAAGCCCAGATTGTTTACCAAGTCCCAACTGGGAAATAAAGTCTCCTGTAAGCCCAAGGAGGAAAGAAGTAAGCAAGGAAGGAAAATATGGGGAGGTGCAGGATCACCTGAACCACGTCAGAGTGAGCTCCTTGAAGGTCGGGCGCAGCCCCCGGCCGAGGAGGGGTCTCCTCCCTCCGGCCCTGTCAGGAAGGTGAGAGGCAGAAGCCAGCCTAGAAGGATATTGTTCAACTCCTCTTACAAGAGTTCCTCAGACGACTTGGAGAAAAGCATCAGCAGTGAGGGCGAGAGCCTAGTGAAGCAGTTAGGTGGAAGGAAAAAGCCGTCGCGTTTCAAACGGGTTAACGGAGAGCAAGAGCGCGGCGCAGGTGCATCCCCAGGCAGCAAAAGGAAACGTGGGAGCTGCCCTGAGCCTTCACCTGTGCCTTCGAGCTCCAGTCACCTCCCCTCTCGGCCCAAGGAGGAGGAAAATGCAAATACTTGCTTCGCGAACAAAGTAAAGCAGTTTCAGCTGCCTGACTTTGAGGAAGATGAAGGTGGGCAGATCGCTTGGGGAAGGGAAAGCTTCCTCCCGTTCGGTTGTGAAGCTCATCTTGAATGTTGCTTTGCTCTTGTGAATGAGGCTCTTAAATTGCTGATTTTAAGTTTGGGAGAAGCACAAAACACAGCTGCTTTGACACTGGCTAAAAACTAGTGTGGTGGCTGGGTTAGGCTGTCCGGAGTTGTTCAAGGTTTGGGGTTGAAAACCTGAACTCTCAGTAGTTCTTACTCTTTCCTAGAGGAGTTGCTAATTCCACAGGTAAGTTGGGTTTGAGGTTTGGGGTTTTTTTTCTTTGCTGCTGCCTTGGTATAGAGATGAAATGATGTGAGGAAACAGGCCAGTCCAGAGTCCTGAAAGCAGCCTGTTCTTGTTCCTTTCTTTTTTTTTTTTAAATTCAGATTATCAGACCTTTACCTAGGGCAGGGAGTTGAGAGTGTGTGTGATGTGACAGACGCTGCCGGGGGGTGGCTCACAGGGTTGAGCATTTCACCTGCTCTGGAGCTGATGCTTTTTTAATCACTGCTCTGCACTTGCTGCTGTTGGCAGGGCTGGAATCTCCCGACCTCTCTTCAAAGTCAGTTTTCACAGACAGTCTATCCCGCCTCTCAGCTCTGGTAGATGAAGAGGAAGAGGATGAAGAACTTCCTAGTGTTTTATCGCATCAAGGTGAGACATCGGTAATATTTCTTCCCCCAGGGTTGCTGCACGCTTTTAGGGTCTGTGAGTTTGCTGACAAGCCTTGGTGACAAAACCTGACCTTTCTAGAAAGCGAATCCAGCTGTGGTCAAGCTCAGAGTAAAATGCATTTCTTGGATGCCCCAGAAAGGTTTTACTTTCTTTTTCATCACAGAACCACAATCAATCGAAGAAGGGATTTTGGTCTGGTGCAAGCTGCGAAGGTATCCTTACTGGCCAGCAGTGGTAAGAAGAGCTCGCTGCCTTCTGGGAGGGGTGTTTGGTTGGATACAAAGCAGTTTTTGCTCTTCTTGTCTTGTGTAGAGTGGGAAATGTTAAAGATCTCCCAGCAGAAGCATTCCAAAGATAACGGAAGTGTGGCAAAAGCATGTAAAAAAGAAATGTGTGTAATTCATGTGTGTTTGTGTTAGAGCTGAGGGCTCCAACCGAGCCTTTATTTCTTGTGTCAGGAATTGGGGTGGTCGTACCCAGCGAAGAGAAGAGAAGAGAAGAGGGTGGGTCCTTGTGCACTAACAGAAACCCTCCCTTGGGGTACCCTGCTGCTCTTGCCACTTTAAACTCTTTGTATTTTTAACTTCCTTTAAGCGTGGGGTGTGCTGTTACAGTACCAGTGGAAAATTCATGAGGGCGTTGGGGTTTTAGGATGCTAATGAGGCTTTGTCCTTTCAACAGGTGAAAAATGTGAGGAGGAAACAGAGAAAGGCGTGTGTGCTGCTAATAGAGGAGAGCATGAATGAGAAGAAAAAAGGGTGAGTGTTGTGGGCTCTGGTCAGGTTCTGACTTTCAGGTTCGTTTCAGCAGTGTCCCGTGGTCTTTTCCGGGTAATCCTCCTCGGCAGGAGGGTTTGCAGGTGCAGGATTCCGGCTTTCTCTGCTGTGTGAGCGGTGAAAAAAGGGCGGGAGGTCAAGTGAGTGTTTTGTGCATGAGGTGCCCATGAACTTCTTGGAAGTACACACCTGCCTTTAGTTTGTTTATTTAAAATAAAACAAAAAAACCAACAAACTTCTCGTTTCTTAAATGGTTCTGTGGTTTTAGCTTGTTATGAAAACCAAAACCAGCAAAACCTGAATTCCTTATGAAATCTGTCAGGGAGGGGTACAATCGTGGTGAACAGAGGCGCAGCTGACCCGCCTCTCCTCCCTGACTGTGTTTCTTTGTTTCATCAAGTTTCTCGGTGCCGCTCAGGAGCCTGAAACACTTTGACTGTGAAGAGAAGCCAGATCTCATAGTAAGTCCGAGGGGTAACATGTAACCGCGAGTGTATCCGCGTGGAAATAACTCCCGTACACAATGTATAAGTGGCCCTGGGATGTGTGGGGGCAGCTGCTGGGCTGTGACTGGTTGTGGTTCTCTGGCAAAGTGGTGGCAGAAGTTGAATTTTGGGAGAAAGCGGAAAAGTGCGAGTGAACTTGGATGCGTTTCCGTTACCGGGATGGCGTCCTGGGCTTAAAAGCTTCACAGGGCGGCTCGTTTTAGGACTGCAAGTGGCTCTTGTTTTGTAGGAGCAAGCCAAAGAAGGTTATCGCCACGAAATCGAGTGGTGTATTCGACTGATTTCCGACTATCGGATTAGACTAGGTGAGCAGGTGAACTGGGTGATGTCACCCGTTCTGACCTAAATCAGAAAAAAGACCAGGCCAAAGCTGGCAGCTCTGTTTTGTGAGCTTAACGGGTAAATAACCCTGTTCTGGGCTTTTTAGGTTGTCATTCGTTTACGGGATCCTTCCTGGAATATTTTGCTGCTGATATCAGTAAGTGAATTTGTCATCTTTTTGTATTTTTCTCCCTGGGAGGGGCTGCTGTTAAATTACTGCTCACCGTTCATCGCACCGTTAAAGTTTTTCAGTTCCACAGCAGAAATTAAATCAATATTGGGTGTTAAAGCCAATCAGGTGACTGGTTCCTGGATGGTGTAGAGAGCTCACTTCAGAGCTCCTGTCAGAGCCTCAACTCCCTGCTCTTTTTTTTTTTTTAAGGCAAAATTAAGAGAACACCACCAGCAAATTCTTATCCTCTTTGGTAGGGGAGGAAGAAGAACTTCTCTCCTAGCAAGAAAATCCATTATTTTATATTTATATGTAAGCAGGTATGCAAGAAAGCCTCGATAGTTTGTGTATTTATGTAGAAACGATTGTGGCTTTTGTTTCAGGCTACCCAGTTCGAAAGGAAGGCTTTATAAAAATGACCTTTCCAAACGAGGCGGAGGAAGATGTCGAAGAGAGTCCGTCAGAAACTTCACCTCAGAAGCCCTCCAAGAAACTTCTTCCTGACAGAACAAGAGCCGCCAGAGATAAAGCAAATAAAAAGATAGTGGAGTTTATAGTCAAGACTAAGGGGGCCGAGGAGCATCTTTTGGCCATTTTGAAAAGCAGAAAGCAATCCCGGTGGCTGAAGGAATTCCTGAAGCAGAGTCAGTACGTGACCTGCGTCGAAACCTACTTAGAGGACGAAGAGCAACTTGACCTTGTAGTGAACTACCTGAAGGAAGTCTATTATGGAACAGATGCTAAAAGCAGGTCTCAAATAAACAGAGACGGAATCAAATTTATTTCGGAAGTCCTCTTGCCGGAAGTAAGTAAGCGTGGAACGTGTGAGCCAAAGCTTAAAGTAGGTGAATGACGCTGAGGGGGTGGTTGCAGTCAGGGGAAGCAGGGATGTTCACGCCCGGTCACCACCCAGCTCGGGGCACAGGCCCTGCAGCTCAGGGGCCCTGAAACCACTTGGTTTCTGCGTGTGTCTCGGGCAAAAAAATATAAAAATCTGTGCAGGAGGCTCTTGAGCCGCTTTCACAGGCTGGTCATCGGAGAAAACTACTGCAGCCCCCGAGTTAATTGCTGGGCGCCTCCTGCGGGGTACCCGTGGGCTCCGGGGTTGGGTGGGAATGACGTGTGACCCGCTGGGACTCTGAATGCAGATTTTTATTTTTTTTTTAAGCTGTTAGCACAGAGCAGAGAAGGCTTAGGTGGTGTCGTGCTTTTAATGGCAGACCCCAAGCTTTGGAGTTTGGTTGGTTGTTTGATTTTTTTAATTTGACCAGTTATCTCTGGGTTTTCTTGGCTACTTACCGTGGGGTGGGTGCTGGGGCGTTTGTGTTTTGCGCTTGCAGATACTTCCTGGAAGAACATTAGTAACCTCTGCAGAAACAAAGTATTACTATAAAGAATATTTTAACAGGGTTATAAAAATATGTTTCTGAGAATGATAAAGGATCAGTTTGTATTATTTATTTAAGAGCTTCAGGTACACAACAAGCAGCTTCATCCAAGCTTCTGAAGTGATTGAGGGGCCTCGCTCTACTCTAAACCTGTGCCCGTCTGCTGAGACAGCTTCAAATCACTCGTAATTTCACTTCTGTGACACGAGTCTGATTGAGCTAAATGCTTTTATAGGCCATCATTTATGCGATTTCTGCTGTGGATGACATAGATTACAAGAAGGCAGAGGAGAAGTACATAAAAGGACCCACCGTGAGCAAAAGGTATCTTTATTTTTAGCGTTCTCTGAATTTTTCTTACTAGTTTGCTGTTGTCTAAGGACAAGTCTGTGGCAGGAGAGTTCAGCAGCCTCCTCCTGCCCCGCAGCCTTTCTCATGGTCTGAGTAACAAAATGATTAAACGTGGGAAACATTCTTGCTGGGTTACTGTAACTCTGCAAACTGTTAAATGCCTTGGGAATCTTTTTTCACTGCAGAACTTCAATGTTTCTCTTTGCAGGGAGAGAGAAATATTCGACGAGGAAATTCTGGCGAGAGCCAAGCGGAAGATCCAACTGGCATCCGCAGACAGCGCCTGAGCGGCGCTTCCAACCTTCCCGGGGTTACAGTGGCAGCAAGTGTATATACCGAAGTGGTTATGTGTATAAAATGTGTAATTCTTATTTTTTAAAGCCCGTGTGGTGGATCTCCAAAGCTTGTCGCTGTGACGCCGTTCAGTCCTTGCTGTTGTGCCGGAGCTGCTGCTGCCTCCCTCGGCCCCCTCCCTCCCTTCGGGACACGGGACCGGCCAAGGCTGCGAGTGTTTTGCAGAACTTCTTGCTATAACACTAAGTTTTATATGGATTCTTCTGGCCAAATATCTGATGAAGGAAGGGCTACTGTCCTTGGAGAAAATAAAAGCCGCAAAAAACGCAGCACAATCGCGTAGCCACGCGTTGCCTGATGAACACCCGCGGCTTTCCTGTCCAGGGGTTGGCTCTTCTTGCTTTACGTGTCGCTCAAAGTGTGGGAAATAAAAATGGTTCCTGGCAATGCAACCTGAATAGCGCAGCTTTGTTTTTGTTGAGAGCCCGCTGCTTCCCTTGGAGCTGCATTGGCTCACGTGCAGTTGCTTTGGAACGTGGAGTCTTGCAGCCTGTGTGCTGCTGCAGGCGCCCTGCGTTGTGGCGAGGCGGAG